AGGACTTAAACAGAAACCACCTAGATCTTAAACTTACACCAGGACTGAACCAGAACTAAACCAGGTCTCAACCAGGACTAAAACAGGATCTAATCGCTTTTAAACCAGGACTAAAGCAAAAATGACTCACAAAACAAATCCAAGAGTGGAGTCCGGAGTCGGATCCTGTTTCCCTAATTCTAAAAGGCGTGATTGACAGGCGGATTAACCAATCAGAGAGAATGAATGATACGAGAATTTTGGAGGGGAGACCAGAACTGAACCAGGTCTGAACCAGGATTAAGTCAGGACTGAACAAGAACTAAACCAGGTCTGAACCAGGATTAAGTTAGGACTAAACAAGAACTAAACCAGGTCTGAACCAGGATTAAATCAAGACTGAACGAGAATAAATCAGGTCTAAGATAGGACTAAAACAGGACCTAATCATTTGTAAACTAGGGCTAAACCAGGGCTAAACCAGGACTAAACCAGGACTAAACCAGGACTAGAAAAATGATTGACAAGACAAATCCAATGCTGGAGTGTGGAGGGCGTGATTGACAGGTGGATTAACGGGTTTATGAGAAAACTGCAGAATCAACAATGGAAGCTCCAAACTCTTATTTCTCTCAGGTTAAAGAAGTGATATCTTTTTTTCTGAAGGATACAAGTGTTTTGGAGAGGAGACAGGATTGAGTCCGGACTGAACAAGAACTAAACCAGGTCTGAACCAGGTTTAAACAAAGACTGAACAGGAACGAAGCAGGTCTAAACCAGGACTGAGTCCTGGTTTAGATTAGACCAGCACTAAATTAGGACCAATTCTGTAGTGGGGATTTATGAAGTGGAGATACACGAAAGTGTTTGTTCACATACAAACATAAAAGCTCCAGCTCAGTAAAAATCATTAATATTTAATTTTTATGTATTTGTTTTTATTTATGTTTTACTCGAAACGATGCAGAATCAGGTTATTAACATTAATACCGTTTATAATCACCTACAGAACATAAATCACAGACTACAACACATGAACCAGGACTTAACCAGGACTAAACCAGGACTAAACCAGGACTAAACCAAGACTAAACCAAGACTAAACCAGGACTAAACCAGGTCTAAACTAGGACTAAACCAGGACTGGAGCAGGACTACACCAGGACTAAACCAAGACTAAACAGGTCTAAACCAGGATTAAACCAGGTCTAAACCAGGTCTAAACCAGAACTAAACCAGGATGAAACCAGGACTAAACCAGAACTGAACTAGGATTAAACCAGGTCTAAACCAGGACTAATCTTGGACTTGAAAACGAGAGCAATAACCCCGCAGAGCTCTGTGCCAGTCCTTTCTCCCGCTGAACCAGGACTGACACTCATTCCTCATTCAGTTTTGGTTTAGTCCTGGTTTAGACCTGGTTTAGACCTGGTTTAGTCCTGGTTCAGTCCTGTTTTAGTCCTGGTTCAGTCCTGGTTCCCTCATGTCTCAGGTCAGTGCAGATATGATGAGTTTATGCAGGTTGTTTTCACCAGTGCCGGTTTGACATTTAAGTTTAGCTCCGGTTTGACATTTAAATTGTAGTTATTTTATATTTGTTATTTTTTTTATATCTCACGTCCGTCGGGAGAAGTGGGTGGACGGTGTACCCCCACGAACCACGCCCACTACACCCCTGACCAGGACTACACCAGGACTGAACCAAACCCTTCTGTATTTGATGCAGAATGGACGAACTGATCTCTTCTAAATCAGTCTGAATCTGCTGAATTATTCTCACTTTCATCTTTCCATGAGTCTTGAGTTACATTTCGAGCAGATTTAGAGGAACGAGACGACAGCTGCAGGTCTGATCCTCGTTCTTCACTTCACGAACGAACGATAAACGAGGAGTTACGGTTATGTTCCATTTACACGTCTGCGCCGTAACGTCAGATGAGAGTGCGCGATTCAGGACAGCTCTCGCTCTCTTCTGCAATCAACAAACAATGCAAATGTCACGAAAACAATCAGCCAATCAATTGCGGCGTCGCCCTCATCAGCCAATCACAATCAGGGAAACAAACTAATTATTATAAACAACTAATTAGAAGATAAGAGGGATTACGCAACATCGACTTTTTAGAGCTTTCTACAATGTTTCCTCATCAAAAACACATCTGAAGAGGTTTTTAGATGTCATACATGCATGTTTGAGTAATCTAGCGATCTCTCTCAGGCCCTATTCAAACCCTCTTTACAGTTAAGCAGTAAAAGTCTGTACAAGGCTCCGCCCACAAGCCTACATCACCCATAATCCCACATGACAATTCTGCATAAATATACAAACGCATGATACAAAAAGGATCATTGGTTTTGTATCATGCTCTCAGAAGAAGACTTGGAAGAGGATCAGCTCCTCCAAATCTGAGGCCATGGTTCTTGTCCGGAAAAAGGCGTCTTGTCGTCTCCAGGTGGGTGGAGAGTCCCTGACCCAAGTGGAGGAGTTCAAGTATCTCGGGGTCTTGTTCACGAGTGAGGGGAGGATGGAGCGTGAGATTGACAGGTGGATCGGTGGAGCGTCGGCAGTGATGTGGTTCGTTGTATCGGACCGATGTGGTGAAGACGGAGCTGAGCCGAAAGGCAAAGCTCTCGATTTACCATCAGTCTTCATTCCCACCCTCAGCTATAGTCATGAGCTCTGGGTAATCGCAGATACAAATGGCCAAAATGAGTTTCTTCTGCAGGGTGGCTGGGCGCTCCCTTAGAGATAAGGTAAGGAGCTTGGAGTAGAGCCACTGCTCCTCCATGTCGAGAGGAGCCAGTTGAGGTGGCTTGGGCATCTGTTCTGGACGCCTCCCTCGGATGTTCATGTCCTACCGGAAGGAGACCCCGGGGAAGACCCAGGACACTCTGGAGAGACTATGTCTCTTGAATGGCCTGGGAACACCTTGGGGTCCCCCTGGAGGAGCAGGAAGACTCTGGGGTGAGGGAAGTCTGGGAGTCCCTGCTTAGACTGCTGCCCCGTGACCTGGCCTCGGATAAGCAAAAGAAAATGGATGGACAAAACTGTACACAGCAACTTAACAAACCTGAAATGGTGTGCAGTAGTTTCATTACTGGGATGTAAGCCGATTGTGATGTGATAGTGCTCTGCAGGGGGAGTAACTTAGCATGGAGAGGAACGGGAGGTGAGACGCTAAAGATGGAACTGAATATGTTAATGTGAAGTTAATGACGGAGCTCCCAGGCAACAGTAGCTCAGCTGGTAGAAAGTTTCCACTGATCCGAAGGTCAGAAGTTCGAATCCTGTGCTCGACATAAACATGATTTGTTGACAGGTCAGATCCACTGACCTGCAGGTTGGTGATGCGATCCACAGATGACGCTGTTGTGTCTTGTTCTTGTCACCCGAGTGTGTGTGTGAATGGGTGAGTGGTTCCTTGATGTGAAGCGAATCTGTGTATCATTCGTTCTTTTGTTTTTCAAAATAAAACCAACTATTTTCTTCATTATTTGTCTCCAAAACCAAAATGAAAATAATGGTTAACGATTTTTTTAAATTTTTTTTCAGTTTTCAATTTTGTGTTTAAATGAATAATGGAAAAAACTGATTATGGCCAGATTCCCATTTCCATGACTTAAACTGAGCATCATTTTAGCTGATCATGTTTACAAAATAACACTATTTCCAAAAAAGTATTGATATGAAAAGTGTATATGTAGAGCTTGCACATGCTTACAGCTGCATTTACCTTCTGTAGTGGTGACAGGACAGGAGCAGTTTCCAGTTCTGCGTCTTTCAGAAATATTCATGTGCATAAGATAGAAATTAATGCATATTTGGAACTTTGAGTGACTTGAAGGCAGCCTGATTCATCAGACGGTTTAACTTGGTCTGACCTCGCAGCGTTAGGATTTGTTCTCGACAGTAGGCGGGTACTTTTTTTATTTAACTAATCGCTGCTACTTGGTCGTGACGTATGTAATGCGCCTCTAACAGGGCTAACTGGTATATTAAGGTTTTCCCAAATCCCTTAGGAAGAAGGACAATAACGTCTTTCCTCTTAATAAAATTCACCTTAAATCCTCGATTTGGGAGGATCTGAACACAGAATGTGTGTCTTCATCTACATCATCTCGACGCTTTGTTTACTGTTGTGCCGTTCAACAAAAGGGACCCAGACAGACGTGATGAGTTTGACGTCATTTCTTTGCAGTTCACAGCTGATTGGCCGGTGCGAGGTCTACAACTTTCCGGGGTTCTTGCAAATCATCTAATGTATTTTGATTCCTGACCTAGTCACTGGAGAGAAATGAAATTGCATGGAGGCAGAGGCTAACTTGAAGGTGGAAAAGCACATGAAAGTGGAAAAAACACTGTATAAAAATATGTATTTCTAAAAGGTAACATGGTGATCTAAATATGTGATGTGTTAGAAGTTAATACTCCACAGAAGACAAATACCTCTTTAGGTTTTAATACAGTAACTTTTAATTTACGAGCCATTTGTACTTTAGAGTAGCCAGGCTGGCGCCGCTTAGTGCCTCTGCTCAATTTCATTTCTCTCCAGCGACTGGGTGTAGTGAATCAAAATACACTAGACTGTTTGCAAAAACCCTGGAAGTGTGAGTTCGGGCACCAGCCAATCAGTGAAGAGCCATATATTCTGTGTTGTCAACCATTTCCAAGATCGAGGATTTAAAGCCAGAACAAAGAGAATGTTTGGTGAATTTCATCAAGGGGAAAGATGTTATTGTCCTTCTTCCTACAGGATTTGGGAAAAGCTCAATATACCTTTTAGTCCCTTTAGCGGAGCATTACATACATCACGATGAAATAGCAGTGATTGGTTAAATGATAAAAAGTACCCGCCTTCCGTCGAGCAAACAAATCCTAACACTGCGAGGTCACATGGTTTCTACGAAGTGAAATCAGCTGATGAATCAGGTTAACCTTAGACCTGTTTGGCTTGTTTTTCTTCACGTGCAGGTGCTCCACAGATCTGACGCTGACGTTGTTGTTTGTTTGTGTGTTGCAGAGGATAAGGACCCGTGCCAGCTCCCTGAGGCCCCGGGGCCCTGCAGAGGTCTGGTGTCACGTTTCCTGTTCGACCCCGAGACCCAGAGCTGCAGACACTTCTTCTACGGAGGCTGTTTCGGAAACGCCAACAACTTTAGAACCATGGACGAGTGCAGGAGCAGGTGTCAGAACACAGGTACAGGACCAGGACTAGACCAGGATCAGACCAGGACTAGACCAGGACTAGACCAGGACTAGACCAGGACTAGACCAGGACCAGACCAGGACCAGACCAGGACTAGACCAGGACTAGACCAGAACTGGATCAGGACTAGACCAGGACTACACTAGTACAGAAAGGGGACTCAACCAGTACTAGACTGGGTCTGACCCAGGACAACACCAGGACTACATCAGGGCTAGACCAGGACTACATGAGGACTGTTCCAGGATTAGACCAGGTCTGAACCACAACTGAACCGAACTGACCGAACTGAGCCGAAATGAGGACTGAACAAGAGTAAATCGGGACTGAACTGGGACTAAACCCGGACTACACCAGGACTGTTCTAGGACTCAACCAGGATTAGACAAGGTCTGAACCACAACTGAACCGAAATGAACCAGGACTAAACCAGGACTTAGTCAGGACTGAAAAAGACCAAACCAGGTCTGAATCGGGACTGAACTGGGGCTAAACCAGGACTGAACCAGGACTACACCCAAACTAGACCAGGACTAGACATGGACTAGACTACACCAAGACTGTTCTAGGACCAACCAGGATTAGACCAGGTCTGAAGCATGACTGAACCAAACTGAGCCAGAACTAAACCAGGACTAAACCAGGACTACACCAGCACTAAACTAGAACTGAACCACCCAAACGAGTCGAGGACTAGACATGGATTAAACAGCAACTGAACCAGGACTAAACCAGAACTCTAGACCAAGTTTGAGCCAAGACTAAACCAGGACTAGACCAGGACTGTTCTAGCACCCAACCAGGATTAGACCAGGTCTGAACCACGACTGAACTGAACTAAACTGGGACTAAACCAGGACTGAATAAGACTAAACCAGGTCTGAATCGGGACTGAACTGGGACTAAACCAGGACTACATCAGCACTAAACTAGAACTGAACCAGGACTACACCAGAACTTTAGATCAAGTTTGAGCCAGGACTAAACCAGGACAGAACCAAGATTAAACCAGAACTAGACCAGGACTCAACCAGGACTAGAATGGGTCTGACCCAGCACTAAACCAGGACTACACCAGGACTACTCTAGGACTCAACTAGGATTAGACCAGGTCTGAACCACGACTGAACCGAGCTGAGCCAGGACTAAATCAGGACTTAATCAGGACTGAACAAGACTAACCCAGGACTACACCAGAACTCTACACCAAGTCTGAGCCAGGACTGAACCAGGACTAACTAGACCAGGATTAAACCAGAACTGAACCAGGTCTAACTCCAACCTTAAAGCTCCTTCTACATTTGTGAACGAACCCAAACACAACTCCGGGGAAGCAACATTAGAACACGGATCAGAACAAAGCTTTAACCTGGACTCTTTAAGCTTTAACTACATTAAAGAGTAAATATATTTAACTCCATTTTCCAACCCACTTATTTTCACTCTCCTCTCACTTTAGATTCAGACCAAAAACGCATCTCCGCAATTTGGATCCAATTTATTCTGGGAGCGTCTGACTTTTCGGAGCGTGACTCTTTCAGTTTGCATTTTAATAACCCAAATATTCCCCGGATGCGTTTAACTGATTTAAACGGCGCGTGCCCTAGTGTTAAATTGACTCTGACCAGTGTTAGATCTAAGCATGTGTTTCAGATGTGTCTTCTCTGATTTTCACTAACGCGGCTTCACTAGATCAACGTGTCCGCTCTCGTTTCCTCTCAATTGGACCTTTGATATTATTAGGAAATTAATTTGCCAGTTCAATAGAATCTTAAATGAACCGAAGCGAGATTAAAGCAGGACTGAGCGGAACGAGACCAAAAGCAGCTCTGAAGTAGAACGAAACCAGGACTAAACCAGGACTAAAACAGGACTAAACCAGGACTAAATCAGGACTAAACTAGGACTAAGCCAGATCTAAACTAGGATGAGACATTATGACTTCACCAGGACTAAACCAGGATTAAACCAGGATTAAATCAGATCTCAACTAGGACTAGACCAGGTTACATCATGACTTCAACAGAACTAATGCCAGACTAAACCAGGACTAAACCAGAACTAAGTCAGATCTAAACTAGGACTAGACATCATGACTTCACCAGAACTAAACCAGGACTACACCAGGACAAAAGCAGATCTAAACTAGGACTAGACCAGGACTAAAAACAGGACTAAAACAGGACTAAACCAGGACTAAATCAGGACTAAAACTAGGACTAAGAGAGATCTAAACTAGGATGAGACATTATGACTTCACCAGGATTAAACCAGGATTAAACCAGGATTAAATCAGATCTCAACTAGGACTAGACCAGGTTACATCATGACTTCAACAGAACTAATGCCAGACTAAACCAGGACTAAACCAGAACTAAGTCAGATCTAAACTAGGACTAGACATCATGACTTCACCAGAACTAAACCAGGACTAAACCAGAACTAAGTCAGATCTAAACTAGGACTAGACATCATGACTTCACCAGAACTAAACCAGGACTACACCAGGACAAAAGCAGATCTAAACTAGGACTAGACCAGGACTAATGCAGGACTAAGTCAGATCTAAACTAGGACTAGACATTATGACTTCATCAGAACTAAACCAGGACTAAACCAGGTCTAAACCTAAACTGTGATTTCACCCGAACCAAGACTAAACCCAAACTATACAGCACATGGACTTAACCAGGACTAAAGCAGAACTAAACCAGGTCTGAACCTAAATCGTGACACCCAAACCAAGACTAAACCAGAACTATATAGTCCATGGACTTAACCAGTATTGAACTAGAACTAACCCAGGTTATGTTATGACTTCACTTGAAATAAATCTGAACTAAACCAGGACTACCCAGGTCTGAATCAGTTCTAAATCAGATCTAAACCTGGACTGAACCAGAATTAAAACAGGACTAAACCAGGTCTAAACCTAAATTGTGATTTCACTTGAACCAAGACTAAACCCAAACTATATAGCACATGGACTTAACCGGGACTTAACCAGGACTAAATTAGGACTAAACCAAGTTACATCATGACTTCACCAGAGTGAAAACCAGGACTAAAACATGACTAAACCAGGTCTAAACCAAAACCAAGAGTAAACCAGAACTACATAGTACATGGACTTAGCCAGGTCTGAACCAGGACTAAACATGGACTAAACCAGGTCTAAACCAGGTCTAAATCATGACTTCACCATAGCAAAACCAAGACCAGACCAAAACTCTACACAGACTAAACCAGAATTGAACATGGTGTAAACTAGGGCTGAAGTTTACTCCAGGACTGAAGTGGGACTAAACCAGGACTATACACGGACTGAACCAGGACTGAACCAGGACTTATGTGCTCTGCAACTTTTCAGTCAGAAGATCCACCAACATTGTCTAAAATGGAGGTGTTACTGCTTTGGCTGGAATGTACATTTCTATCTTGCATTCAGTAAAGCACATGTATTTTTATTGCTCAAAAATACCTTCAAAACACATTCACAGTCAGCGCAGTCACCTTTCCACAGATCTGACCTGTAACTTGGTCTTGTACTATTAGTGTTTGTTTCTTTTGGAAATTTATGTACCAGATTTTTTGGACTATAAGTGGCAATTTTTTTCATGGTTTGGGTGTTTCCTCTGGTGTGACTTATATATTAAAACGTTCACAATGAAGTGGTGAGAGGTTCTAGTCTTGTGTGTGAGTATCTGCTGCTCCTGTTCCTCCTGTACCACTGTCACTTCACTCTACTGCACATGTCTCCTGCAGAAAGAGCCTCTGTTCTGTCTGTATCATGTCAGTCGATCGCACCATTACTTCTGCACCACTGAACTATTTAACATTTAAACAAACTTATAAAGACGACTGAGAAAACTGAACGCAAATGCCCCCAAAAGGAAAATCAGACTTTGCAGATTACAAACTGCAAGTCGTGAAATTTGCAGCTGAAAACGGTAATCGAGCAGCAGAAAGAAAGTTTGGAGTGAGAGAGAAACTTGTGACTTTCCTGAAGTCACTGGATGGATGGACAAAGTCTGGACTTCAGTGACACTGAAACCATCCTGTCGAGATTCAGAAAGACCCGAATAATTCTAACTGGAACTGATGCTGAGTCTGACGACAGCGACACAGAAGAGGAAGCGGCGCTCTGTTTACCTCCGGAGGTCGAGGTGTAGAGGTCTGTGTGGGACAGAATTTTAATTCCCGCTCTTGCCCGCAAATCTCACATGATGGGGACGTTGGCTTTCTTAAGATCTATCAAACACAGAGAAGCAGAAAGGAATTCAAGATTAGCAAGATTAGACCACATCAGCAAGTTGGGCTGGTTAAAATGTTTTTATTAATGCCAAATAAAATATCCAGTACAAATCCTGTATGATAGACAAACATGAATCACTTGTATATTTGAGCAATACAATGAGCTTTTCAAAGTGTGTCCTGAGGATGAAGAACTGAATGGATTTAGTGATTTGGAGTGAGATGGAGAGTTTGGTTAAACTTGTTCTGTTCTGTTGTTTATGTTATAGTTTATCTGAAGAACTGTTCATATGTGATGTTAACAGTCTGTTGTTCTCTTCTATTCTTATTACTACAACTTGACTTTACACAGGAAATGTCGGTTCCTAGTCTCTGATTTTATAAAATACATTTCCCCCAAAAAGTGCGACTTATATAAATGTTTTTTTCTTCTTCATTACACATTTTTTGGCTGGTGCGACTTATACTCCGGAGCCACTTATAGTCTGAAAAATACAGTCGTAGTATTTAATGCCGTGCGGTAGAAAATTCCATGAAAAGCAAAGGCATCTCCATGGAAACCAGCAGTTGGTGAACCCTCCACAAAAGTTACACAGTGCAGCTTTAATCATCAGGACTAAACAAGGACTAACAATACTGACAAGACTAAGACTAAACCAGGACTCTATAAGGACTAAACGAGAACTAAAGCAGGACTAAAACAGGTCTAAAGAGCAGGTCTGAACCCGGACTGAAGCTGAAGTGTCCTCTTGTATTAGTCTGCATATTTTAGTTTTGGTGTTAAATCAGCTGTGACCAATTTTCAACCGCGAGATGTGTTCAAAATCTGTGTCTTTTCCAATTTCCAAAAGTGCATTTCACTAAATTGAAGTGTCTGCTTCATTTAGTTACAGTTTCACTTCGTCCAAGATTATTCAAACTAACATTTAGAAAAGAAACGTGTGAGCAGAGGCCAGAGCATATTTTTGGTGGAATTAGTGAAGATTTGATTTTGTTTTTGTTTTTTGTTACATGGACTAAACCAGGACTAAACCAGGACTCAACCAGGACTAAACTTGGACTAAACCAGGACTAAACCAGGGCTAAACTGGGACTAAATCACAAACATACCAGGAATGAACCAGGGTTAGACTAAACTGGGACAAACCCAAGATTAGACCAGGATTAGACCAGGACTAAACCAGGACTAAATCAGGACTGAACCAGGGCTAGACCAAGACTAGACCAGGACTAAAACTAGGACTAGGACCAAAACCAGGCACAGGACTAGACCACCAGGACTAGACCTAAACCAGGACTAAGGACTAGGACCAAAACCAGGACTAGGACTAAACCAGGACTAAACCAGGATTTCAGGACTACCAGGACTGACCAGGAACCACTAAAACTAAATCAGGACTAAACTAGATCAAAACCAGGACTAGACCAAGACTAGACCAGGACTAAAGTAGACCAAAACCAGGATTATACAGGAACTAGACCAGGACTAGACCAGGACTAAACTAGGATAAAACCAGGACTAAACCAGGACTGAACCACTATTAGACCAGGACTAAACCGGGACTAAACCAGAATTTAACCAAGTCTTAAACAGGATTAGACCAGAACCAAAACAAGTGGTGATTTTTAATAATTTTTTATACTTTTTTTTTTTTTTCCAGATAAAAATGCACATACTTCAGCAGCTCCCAGACTGGAACAACTGGAAGTCCAGACACGCGCGACAGAAAGACCCGCGCCGGACCCGGAGCCTCACGCAGTCGTGACCGGTGAGACACTGCGGCAGAGTGGTTAACCTGTCTCCTCCTCTCACTCCTCATCCTTTTTTATTTTTTTTAAATTATTATTATTATTTATTTCCAGCTGAGACGCCTGTAGCTGGTAAGACAGAAGCACTGGTCCAGGTCCACAATAATACCAAAGAACACCACCCCAAAGGTAAGACAGCTTTGACCATCGTTAAAACGTGAAAATCAGAATGAATTCATTTGAAACTGTGGTTTGCAGAGCTCCAAAGTTCTTCCTCACTTACCTTACGTATTCAGAGCGTCGTAATTATTCACCGTGATGAGTTTATGAGCACTTTTCACAACTTTTAGAGACCAGAGCGGCATTTTCTTGTCACAGTTTCCTGATTCGTTACTGATGAAACACTTTATAGTTGGACGCAGACAGTACACGGGGGACTTATCTGTACTGGGGCGAGAAAAATACATGGAGAAAAATCTGGTACAGGGACTTTAAAGCAGACATATAGTGCTATAGTTATAATCTATGACATTTTAAATCATAATATGATGTAATAAAACCTCGCCCCAACCTTTTCTTTAGAAGGTCTATCTGCGTTATTACCACAGAGTCCAAATCACATCAGCCGCACATGCAGACGACACAATAATAACATTTCCAGTGGACGTCCAGGTCCGGTAAACACATGTTTGAATTATGCGCACCTGGGGCATGAAATTTAATGCCTCTAAAACTGTGTGTTTATGTTTTGCCCAACCGTCTGTCAGTAATCTACTAAACAACCAGGTCATGGTTGAGGGTCGGGTAACACTTTATAATAACTACACCTTATTTAGCCTTAATAAAGCATGAACAAAGGCTTAATTAATAATGATTCACGCTTAGTAACTACTTAATTACTACCTTAATTAGCACTTGGACTTAATTTGCCTGTGCTGTAAATAGTTGCTCATAATAATTTCATACTTAATTACTCATGAACTAACCATTTGAACATTTATTAATGATTAATAAGCTATGAGAGAATGATTTACTAATAATACAATGCAATGATCATTCAGGCAGCTGTTATCTGTTAGTTAAGTCTTTCTGAGAGATTTTCTAAAGTGAAGACAAATTATGCTTTATTAAACATTTACTAAGCGTGAATCATTATTAATTAAATATTTGTTCATTGTTAATTAAGTCTTTGTTCATGCTTTATTAAGGCTAAGTAAGGTGTAGTTATTATAAAGTGTTACTGAGGGTCGTAATATTCCCTTCTCGAATGAGGCAAAACACTTGATGTAATATTTATGAATGATTTAAATTCAAGCGTCATGTTGAAGAAATGTGTAAAGTGTCTCATAAGGAGATCTTTGTGCTGAGATTACTTAAAACAAAACTGCCATCAAGAAGTAATGAACGTCTGTTACACACGCCTGTGTTAGATCTGGGCTAGAACACTGCTCAGTGTTAATATGTGGTGCAGGAAAGACTCTGATGAACTGTCTTGAAAGTCTGTAGCGGCGATGCATGTGCATCATTCTCCACCTTCCATATTGTACCAACATAACACCAGAGCACCAGGGCTGACCACAAACCAGACACAATTGTGCACTGGCATGTTTAGCATCTAAACTGCGTCAGGGGCTTTCGCCAGCAGCTCTGGGACGATACCAGCCCACACAGAAAGTTCTGCCTTATAATGTACAGTGAGCCACCTACCGTCATTTTTCAGAATATAAGTGGCACTTTTTTCACAGTTTGGGTGTTTCCTGCGACTTATACTCCAGTGCGACTTATATATTAACATTTTCAGACTGATGAGAGGGGGCGCTCTAGGCTTGTGTTTAGTTTTCTGTGAATGTCTCCGGCATAAAAAGCCACTGTCCTGCTGCAAGTAGTGAAATATGCAGCAGAAAATGGTAATCAAGCAGCAGAAAGAAAGTTTGGAGAGAGCGAGAAACTTGTGAGGGACTAGCAGAAAGCAGGAATAGAAAACACAGCTTCATGGCAACGAGGCGGGTGCACGGTGGAACTTTCCTGGAAGTCACTGGAGGACAAAGCCTGGACTCCAGTGACAAGCGAAGTTGCGTGGAGTTGCTCAGAAGTGATACCAAGGATGAAGAATTCAATGGCATTCAGTGAGCCCTGCCCTGCGCTGCCATCATGCAGAGGTCATGTCTCACTCTGGCCACTAGGAGGCTCAGTGTGCTGAATCCTCATGACTGTGTTTCACACTCTGGAACTATGGGAGAATTCAAAGAGCTCCTGAGAGTCCCTTGCAAACTTCAATTTTGGACTGTTGGAACAATTTTCATATCATGGTCAATCATATGACCATGGAATTTTATTTGAACAACTCTTGTTTTAATTCAGATTTTTGTATTCATTTAATGAAAAAAAAAAAGAAACAAACAAACAAACAAATCTGGTGACTTCTGCGTTAGAAAACTGTGGTGTCCAGTGGGAGCTGACGTGGCCGTAAATGTGGGTGCTTCCTGTGGATCGCTGCACGTCACACTAGATCAGAGGATGCACATATAGCTGCACATCACACTATTTGTACCAAAATCACAGATATCACAGATTGAGAAAATCAAACTGGAGAATGAAATGTGTACGTGACAGTGGGCGTGTACAGGCGGAGGAGAAATCTGGGGTTGATTGTCAAAATGGCGTCATTAAAACAGGAGAATAAAGATGACTCAGACATGTACGAATCACTCTAAACTAGGGATGTAACAATAATGTGTAATAATTACAAGAAAAGTTATATTGATTCTAATGACTTTCCTTCTTATTCTGTAAAGCATTTTGAATGACTTTGCCTTGTTATGGTGCAACAGTCACTAAAAACACAGGGAACTACATAGACCATGATCCTTTGCTGTTGTCAGTGCAGACTACATGAAGAAGTAACAGTTATGAAGCACTTTGAAATCTTTATTCTTCATATTATAACAGGAGCTTTTCAAGGCTTTCCCAAGACTTTCAAAAGGAAAAAGTAGTTTATTCACAATTTTGTAAACCTCTACAAAATACTGCAATTAATATCAAAGTGTGAGGTGCATATCGTGAAAATATCATATCGAGGGATTTTGACGTCGTTACATCCCTACTCTGCTCTACTGGTCAAACGTTTTAGAACACCACATTTTTCCAGTTTTTTACTGTTTACTGTTGACCAAAACTTATTCTAAACTTTTGATTGATGAAATTGTCCACCTGTGGCAGATATAACAGCTGAACACACTCGTGGCTCATTCTTTTTACAATAGAAATCAAATATTCTTTTGAAAGTTCTTCCCAAGTCTGTTGCAGAAGTTCCATAAATGTGTGGCACTTGTAGGTTGCTTCACTCTTCAGTCCAGTTCATCCCAAACCAGCTCCGATGGGGTTTAAGTCTGGACACTGTGCTGCTGCTGGACATTTCAGGTTTTCAAGATTTACCGTCATGTTCTTTTTTCCTGAGGTAGTTTTGGCAGAGATTGGACTTGTGTTTTGTATCTTTTAGCTTTTTTTTTTTTTTTGTTTAATTTAATCTCTGTCTTTTCATTTTCAGTTCTTACCTTTGTGCCATTTCAAGCTCTTCATTAGATTTGCACGACTTGAATTGCAATAAATAACTGGAAAAATTACGATGTTCTAAACATTTGACCAGTCGTGTAAATACAACTTCAGAATGTCAACAAGAGGAAACTAGTGTAACATGTTTAAAATGTGTGAAACTGCAGAGGAGTTGTGATTGAAGTGTGTGTGTGTGTGTTTTGTTGCAGAAGTGGACTGGTCAGAGGAGTGCCAGCTCAGCGTGGACGCAGGGACCTGTGACGAGGCACACAGGAGGTACTACTTTAACTCTGCCACCAGGAGGTGCCAGAGCTTCATCTTCTCAGGCTGTGGAGGAAACAACAACAACTTCGTGAGCCGACGACTCTGCTTCAAGAAGTGTGTGCACAGACACAAAGGTCAGAGGTCACTTCATCTGTCTGTCTAAAGCAACATGCACTTTTGAGGGCTGTCTAACAGGTTATAATACTCCCTACAGCAAAGGTGTAGGGAGTATTATCTGTTCCATAAGGGTGAGTTGTTGTACAGTTGTAGGGAGTATTATATATTACATAAGATTGGGTTGTTGTACCATTGTAGGGAGTATTATCTGTCACATAAAGGTGAGTTGTGTACAGTTGTAGGGAGTATTATCTGTTAAATAAGGGTGAGTTGTTGTACAGTTGTAGGGAGTATTATCAGGGAGTATTATCTGTTACATAAAGGTGAGTTGCGTATAGTTGTAGGGAGTATTATCTCTTACATAAAGGTGAGTTGTGTACAGTTGTAGGGAGTATTATCTCTCACATAAAGGTGAGTTGTGTACAGTTGTAGGGAGTATTATCTCTTACATAAAGGTGAGTTGTGTACAGTTGTAGGGAGTATTATCTCTTACATAAAGGTGAGTTGTGTAGAGTTGTAGGGAGTATTATCTCTTACATAAAGGTGAGTTGTGTACAGTTGTAGGGAGTATTATCTCTTACATAAAGGTGAGTTGTGTAGAGTTGTAGTCTTGTATCTCTAACTGTTTAATCATTGTGTGTCACTAACTTTGTAATTTGATCAAATATTTGACTCACAATCAAAATCAAAATAATGTGAAATTGCAGAGCCTCTGTGTGTGTGAGCTCATGGTTAGTCTTGACATATGTTCTTCTCATAAACTGTAAATATAAATGGACTGGAGCTGATTCTGGGGTTTTCATTCCACTGTTTTGTGGAATAAAATAAATTCTTATTCCTAATGTGGAGTCTGGTTTCAAATTCACTCCTATAACTGCAGGCCTTTATGAGCTTCATTTGACTGGAGCTGAAATCTGTGGGTGATATCACACTCACATAGTCACTTCTTTATACAGTTTTTTTTTTTTTTTTCAAGAAAAGCTTTTGTGAATGTCTGACTCAATACAATAGAGAGATTAATAATAAAGTAAAGTAAAGTAAAGTAAATAATTTGTCTTTTTTTTTTTTTTTTTCAGAGAACAGAGGGATGATGATCCGGATCCGGAGGAAAAACCTGGACAAGTACAGACACATATCGGTCTGATCCTGGTCCTAGTCCTGGTCTGGTCCTGGTCTAGTCCTGGTCTGGTCCTGGTCTGGTCTAGTCCTGGTCTGGTCTGGTCCTGGTTTAGTCCTGGTCCTGGTCCTGGTCTGGTTTCCTCCTGCCCCTCACTGCACTGGACATGTACATAGAGCACTGGCTGTGTTATGTTTTATTTGAAATACTTTGTCTTTTTTATGATTTGGATCTTCACTCAGATGTGGTGTTTTTGGACAGAAGGGTAAATTTGAGTTCAAATGATCAAATACTGAATGAGACAAAACAAAATCACATATTTGAAATGAGGAAAATTCAGAATATGGGGCCTAAAGTTGCACTGCGTAACTTTTCTGGCATATTTAAGCGCATTTATCTCCAAGGAAACGGGCCAGCAAGTTCCACGTCGGATCTTTGGAGAAATCTAAAAACACCTAGACTTAAAGAACTGCTAGACATACAATTAATGCCGTACTGTGGAACATTCTAGGGGACTTCATAACATCTCCATGGAGACCAGCAAGAGAAAAGTTACACAATGGAACTTTAAAGGGCCTATATTATGTATGCTATTTTCTGATCTATGTTATAATGTTGTTTCTCGTCACAAACGCACAAAAACTGGAGTTGTGTTTTGGTTCATCTTCTCTCAAACAGGAAACACTCTGTTCCACCTTGTGATGTCATATGAAAGTGCTCCACTGTGTTTTTAAACTCCATACAGCTTCAATAGAATCATTTGGATCATTTGAGCTTTGGAGTTGACAATCTCTTCTGAACTAAAAGGGTCTGATCAAGTGGTAACGGAGGGAAACTTTTTTTTTCTGAATACTTTAATATTACTTCAAAATGAAAGGAAACTATTTCTATAAAATATGTCAGTCCTTCCAAGCAAATTTTTATCATTTTAAATACATAAAACAAAATAAAAAATCATCAACAGTTCAAAGATGGAATAACACAAGATATGATGAAATACATCCATTTATTGACATGATTTGCAGGTCTTTGAAATTTGGGAAATAATTTTTGTTCCATGTTTCATACATGGTCTGTTTAAAAAGTATGGAACTTTAGAACCAAAAATGGTACAGAAAAAAGGTCAACAGTTTCATAAACTAGAGTACATATGTATCTGTTCAATACATTTTTAGATCAGATGCATTAACTTGAATTTTTGGCCTTGTTGTTTACTTCTGCTTGACCGGGCCCAAATGTAAAAGGAGCTGTTCACTTGAAAACTCTCACTTCATGACATCACAAAGTGGAGCAGAGCGTTTGGAGCTTTGGAGATGTAAACAAACTAATAATAAAGAGTTGCTCAAGCATTTGTGAATGAAACAAAACACAACTCCAGGTCTGTTTTTGACGAGGGAACAACATCATAACACGACCTAAAGATCACAAATCCATTTTGCATAACATAGGACTTTTAAAGCTGCATTGTGTAACTTCTTGCTTGAGGATCTGCCACATGTTAATTTTTGTTTTTTTTTCTCTGTCTGGAATGTTCCACAGTACGACATTAAAAATATATCTACCTTACTCAGTTACAGGTGGTTTTATAGTTCAAAAATACCTAGAAAAACAGGCATTGTTTTTTTTATTTATATTTTCTCCTTTCAAGACAAGGCAAAGTTTTAGTTTTAGTTATTAGCAGCCAGACTGATATTTAATGTCACATGAACACAATTTACAATTACAGTTATGGCCAGTCCAGATTCAAAATACTATTACTCTTCCTATTCAAAATTCTATGTAATTCCTGGAGTATCAAGAGAAATTATAAGTTTTTCTTTTTTTTTTTTATTCTTCTGTAGTACTTCTTTGTGTACTTTAAATAAGAGACATGAATCCAAAACTGCTCAATTTTAACATTTAGATTCATCTTCTTATCACTGTTAATAATCACCAAGACATCACAAAATTCATGCATCCAGTTTCTTATTGAGAAATAATTTGGTTTTTGATGTTTTCAATGAATCGTAATCATTCTTTTTTGCTACTATAAAGGCAAAATTGATAATTTGGTATTGACTTTTTATTGAAAATTGAGCAGATGTGTAACCTAACAAACTGGACATAAGGAACGGATTCGATTTAGTCACTTGGAAACAGCTTCAGTTATTTGATTCCAAACTGCATGAATCTCTGGGCAGTGTCATGTGAAGTCATTTTCACCCCAGCAAAGTTCAAAGGAGTGTGGGTTTGTTTTGTTTGTTTGTTTCAGTTTGGCTGGAGTTACATATGCTCTTTGTAATGTTTTAAGTTGGATCAGCCTAAGTTTCACTCATTTGGAGATTTTTTGTTTCCATTGTGCAGTAGTTTAAATGCAATCTAGATCCTTTTCCCACTGAGACTGTGTTTTAGTGTTGAGGGTTTCACCTGAACTATCGAGCAGTTTATAAAGTCCTGACACTGCTCCTTTAGTTAGAACCAACTGTCTAAATTTCTTATCCAGAACAGGCATTGTGACTGTGAGTCTCTGCAGATCTGACCTGTAACTTGATCTGGTTTAATCTCCATGAAAATATAAAGGTTTAACACCAAACTGTGAAAACATTGTAGACAAACAACATCTCCATGGAAAAAGCTTTTGACGGAGCCTTAGCTAGAGAAGTTACGCAATGCACCTTTAGTAACCTTTAAGCCGGACGTACACTGTGGGTTTTTTGGCCCTGTTTGAGACGATTTTTTACTCGTGCCACTGTTTTTGGGATCGAGTTTTCACTTAATCATGTGTCATGCTTTGTGTAGTTTACATGAGGTAACTAGAACCAGTTAATACAGTCATGTCCAAACTATGGCCCGTGGGCCAAATGCAGCCCTCAGACAAATTTTTCTTGGCCCTCAGGCTTCCAGGTGAATTGACCCAAATTACCTTGCATCAATTTAAAAAAAAAAATTTTTTACTGAAAGATTTTTTGAAAATCTCCCTTAATAAAGCAAATATTTAATATTTAGTGTGTGGTTTTAAGGATCTTAGCATGAATAAAGTCTGATGGCTCATTCTGACATGTTAAACATGCACATATTTCATTTATTCACTGTACTGAGCACCAGTTTACAGCCCTCGATCAGCACTCTGCTTGGCCTGTGTTTAGATATGTGGCCCTTGATGAAAAAAGTTTGGACACCCCTGGATTAATACCTCAGGACCAGCTCCAGATCTACAATCGTAGGTCGCAAGAAGAGCAAACCTGTTTGAATCCAGTCCCTTGTCCTGAAGGTTTCACAGTGTCGAAGTCGTTCGTACAGTGTGAGAACATGAATCGTGAGCTGTGAACTTTTAAATCTTGAGATTTGGTCGTACAGTTTGAGTTGGGGCTGAGTAAAACCATCAGAAACATCACACAGTGTATGCCCGGTATTCATGTTCCTTCAGATTCTTGGATATTTTCAAAGTAGATTACATTTTTATTGCATAATTTTTATTCCAAATACCAAATCTTATGTTAAAATAATTAACATAAACTAACCTAGTCTAATCTTGGTTGTACGTTTGAGTGTATAATACAATTAAAAACCACACATACTTTTATTACATCACCACTTTTAATTTGACAAATGCATACATTCAAAGTTTGCTGCGAAAAGATCACATTTGAAATCCTGTACTCCGTTTCTGTAACTTTATTTTGTATTTTAATTTTTTTTTTTACTCTTCAACTTGAGCACTTTTCTCTTTGTATTACTTTTTTTTTTAAATCAATAATCTTCCATTTGAATAAGTTTGTAATGTTTTTGTTGTGATCGTAATCCGAGCCAGTGATCAAAACGGCCGCGTCGCATTTCTCTTTCCTCACTTTTTTCTCCTTGATTCCACATTTTAATCCTCCATTTTTCAGCTGTCATATTAAGCGTTGTCCTTAAAAAAAATGACAGAATGGAGGAGTAAACGTGACCGAGGCTTCAGGAGCAAACATCAGAGAAAAGAATCAAACTTTATCGGTGTCAGTGAGGAGTTTAGATCATCTCTCCTCGCTTTGTCTCCTCTTCCTCAACTCTTCCTGCAGAATCGAGGAGAGGAATCGAGGAGAAAAAAGGAAGCGAGGAAAGAGAAATGAGACGTGGCCTGTGAGTTGTGTTTTAATCAAGGAAAAGAACTGTTTGTCGTCTGTGTTCTTGCGTTGCTTTACATTGTGTGGTGTGTACTCTGAACACCAGGTGGCGGTGTTGTTTTACATATGATCTGCCAAAGCCTCTGTATGCAAACTTTGTATTAAAATAAAGATAATAATAAATGTTTTGTTTTTCGAGACATTTTTTTGACATTGTAACATCTCAGGAGAATCTTTAAAATGCATAAACAAAAAGATATAAATTCTGAAATGGAGGGGAAAGTGAATTAATATCTCAGAATATCCAAAAAACACAACACACTAAACATTTTCATCAACATTCTCAGTGGGGGTGGAGCTAACTAGATGCACTGTTCTGTCTGAAGCTGTGTCACGCAAATTAGACTTTAATCTGATCTTTATTTTAACTCAATCTGAGCAGAAAGAACTGATTTAACATTTCATTACCAGTAATTCTTCACTCCCCTTCCAAGTAGCTCGTGAAAGGATTTCTGAATTATACATATTGTGCACAGTTTGATTAATTAAAATGATTTGATTTGATTATTTATTTGGGTCACAGGTATATTTTGACATTAATTCACAGATAGTCATATTTAACATACACAGACCGAAAAGGTGTTGGCTGAATTTAAGATTATTATGCCTTTACTGTTTATTCCTTTATCAGAGCTTCATCTTGACATCAGTTCATCTTCAAAAATACAGCAGGAGGAAACAAACAAATCAGTAACAGTACAACAAAGTTCTACAGCACAAACGAAGTCTCCTAATTCATGTATCTGTCCAGAGTTAAACATTTAAACTCCTTTATAAAGTGAAAGAGCGTGGGGCACAGTTTTAGGTTTTCTGTACAGTTGTTCCACAGCTCCAGCCCTTTAACAGATTTACAACATTTCATTATGTTTGCTCTAATTTTCTTTTTGATAAACGTGGTTGTGCCTCTGAGCTCATATTGGCTCTTTTGGATTTTGGATTTTGAACATGTTCTGTAAAGATTTTGACAGATTATCGTTTACTTTGAGCATGATTTTCAGAGTTGAATCGTAAACTAGTGCGGGTTTTCCTGGATAAATTAATTAAATTTTAGTTCAGTCAATGTGCTTCTTTCATTAAATAAACTATGAAACTATTTAAAGAGCAAATACCTTGATAAAACTTCAGGTGTCTTGATGGGACCATTGGAAATCTCTTTGCGGTTTATGTTCTGTAGCCATAATCCATGTCTTTTTTTCGATAATTCCCTTGTTTGATCCTGATGAGTCATTTCCAGAGGAACAGTGAAGAAACGATTCATTTTATCCCTTTCAGAGCGTCTAGAACAACTAAATACACAACAAAACCTGCCCATGTTTCTCCGATGCTGCTGAAGTCAGTGACATAGTGTTGCCCGGTGTCATGGCGGCGTAGTTACCGTTGCTATAGGGGTCACGTGACGGTGCAAAGCCTCTATACCGTAGGTTATGTCGGGCATTACCAGTGAGTTGTATAGAATAAAAAGTATATAATTGTGATCGCTTTGGATAATTTATTTTAATTTTATTTATGTGTGATTTCCAATTTAAATTATGGTCTATAGTTACTCCTAAAAATGTATTTTCAAAGATTCTTTCTAGTGGTGTATTATTGAGCATAATTCGTACACGATTTTGTACTTTTCATTTTGCAAATATCATAAAGTTAGTTTTTTTTGTGTTTAGCAACAATTTATTAACATCAAACCAGACTTTAATTTTATGCAGCTCCCTCTCCACCATTAGAAAATGTCATTTTGATGTATAACTTTGTGCATTAATAAATACATAATAGATAAGTTTTATCTAACTGTACCCCACTTAAAGAGACAGTTTGGAATTTTGGACATATTACCTTATTTCCTAGTGAGACAGAGTATTGGAGACGTGTGGAGTAATCGAGCGGATGATGTGACGAAAAATAATATTTTTTGGCGGTTTAACTACTCAAATAAAATATATTGTTAAGTATTGTTACCTACATCTGCAAAAACAGTGTGATTGTACAGTCTATGCTTGTAGAATGAACATAAGTGGTTATAGGGCCATATTTATTTAGTTAGGCATATTTTTTTTCTTGCCTATTTCATTTGGAACATAAAGTGGACATTGCCTGATTTCAGTAAAGCTTCATCTGTTCTTCTGGGTGAGATGATCTGTCTATTCTGTTTCGATATCAGTTATATTTTAAAACACACAGACATTGTAGCGTAGGTTTCCACTTGGGGTATTTAAAACTTAAAGAAAGACCGATGGAGTGAGGCTATGACTTTAAAAAAACATCGGGCAATGGCAGAATGTTCAGAATGCAATAACATCCAACATGAAAGCAAGAAGGTTCAAAAATAGCCTAGTGGGAAAATGTCAAGTAATTAGCTACGCAAGACAACCAAGACAACAAACAATTAAGAATGTGAACATGCTGAATGTTTGAAATAAAACTAACCTTGCATCACATGAAACGTCACTTGTTGAGGGACTATTTTCTCATATATCATTCCGAGATTAGGAAGTACAACTCACTGCTGCTGCTCAGACAGAAATCCTTCAAATGCAAGATTGGTTTTACTTCTAAAATTATTTTATCAGCACAGACATTCACATGGACAGTCTGGTGTAATAATAGTTTTGTTTCGGGGTGTTTTGTGGAGTGGGTAAGACTGTTTTTAGTGGCAGGCTAACTATGGCCATTGACATGCACTAGCCTAGCACCAACGACCTCTGCAAATACAAGGACTGGATGGAATATTTCAAAAAGTGTTTTCTTTCTTACATATACTCACCAGAACTTTTTCACAACGGCAGGTGCTCCATCGAAATGAGCTCCTCTATCGATTCACGCTGCCCTGGTGAAATAAATCCTGACCTCCCCAGTTTGACACATATTTCTTTGGATTAGTGATGTGGATATTTGATGTTGTTTGCACACAGTGATCAAACTTTATACTTTAGTTATGTACAATTTCAACTCATGTATCTGAATGTGTGTAGTTCATTTGGACAGTCGTATTCTGCTCAAACAGGGCTCCGACTAAAGGAGAACATATCCACAGGACAATTTAACCATCGAGTAATAATGTCCAACTGTAGAATCATCATTATTCGCTCATTTAGATGGATTTCGGCCGAGCTCATTTCCACAGGCCCATATTTTCTATCAAATAAAACTCTCATTATAGAAGAGAAAGAAATGACTGGAAACACTGAACTCTTCAGATTAAATAAACATCACAGGCTACAGTGTGAATTTCTATTATAATATAGTGATGTTTTATTTATGCAAAGCCTTTTTAAACAAAGTCGCAAAGTTTTCTACACATGGAAACAAAATAAAATATGATGTAATGAAAATGATAACGATAAAAACAAATATTAAATCCAAACTATTCAAACATTTAACATAAATATTCTGCCGCAAATCGAACACACAAACGTCGATGTGTAATTGGTCAAAAAACAAAAAAATAATAAAAACAAAACACTTTTATAATGTGACTTGTTACTCCACTTTTGCCTCAGGAGCTCAAATCGAGGACATTTAAACTGTAAGAGCACTTGGGAGTTGTGCACATGCGTAGTAGCTCAAATCGACTGAACACCAGAAGTGCCCCGCTGTAGTTTTGCGGAACTTCCGGTTAAAGCTTTTCTGTGGCAAAATATCGGTGGAAATGTGTGGCGTATTCTCCACCAGCTTCATAAATCTGAGACTTGTAAATGTGAGACATGTGATCTGTGAACATCTGTGGCATTTGAACTGCAAAAATGTTAATATCTACATCATGAAATTAGTTTTTAGTTTTACTTCTAGAATCAGTCAGTTCACAAGTTACTTCTTAATGAACGACTTATTACTTTTATTTTATTCATGATCATAATGTTGTTTTCCTTTAAGATTTCATCTTCCTTCTCTTGATAGTTGTGGATGAATTGTTCATGTTAGAATGTTTATTCTTTGTGGAGTTTGTTGGTTGAAGATTTGGTGATGGGGCAGATGTATGAAGCTGCTGGAGAATACGACACACACATTTACACACATTTATCATAGAAAAACATTAACCAGAAGTGACATTTACCCTACAGCGAGACACTTCCAGTCATTGTGAAAAAGCTCTATTTCTTGTGACTGTTAAAACCAGTAGCTCTTGTTTTATAAACGTAGCTCAGAGATAAAAAAAAAAAAAAAAAAAAGTTGGAGACCTCTGCTCTAAAATAACATGACAGTCACCAGCTGTTAGAATTATCCAACAGTTTTTCACTTACTCTCACTTTTTTGTTTAAAATCCATTTTGTATTTTTTTCTTGATCTTCATTTTTTTTGACAGTGTTTGGTAATGTCTGCGTTGCGTCACCATGGTAACTGCAGGACATTCTGTCATACATCCCCCCCGGCGTTCCCCAGCATGATGTCACTGTAAAGAATCAGTTATGTCTGTTTCACTTTGGGCTCTATAATAAACTTATATAAACTTCAACTAAAGAAAACAAAACTACAATACTTCAAATATAACTGCATTTAGCACTGTATTACATTCTAGTTTAGAAAAGTACTGATTGTGCATGATTCTAATATTATAAAACTAAAATTCACCCATTGAGCATGAGGTGAGCGGTTGGATCCCCACTGCAAAATGTTCTTTGTGCTCTTGGGCAACACACAAACACAACACTAGTTTAAAATATTCTCTGTCAAAACTAGTGGACAGTACTCAAATTTCATTTCCATTTCGATACAAAGGAATAGGTTCAATACTCGATATTGATTCTGATACCACGATGATAATAACAACACTCTTTCTACAGACAATAGGAAGTGATTTTCCACATTAAATAGTAGAACTTTCTGTTTTATTTCCATGTGTCCTTATATCTGTTTAATCCAGGAAGGTTCCACAGTGAGTGTATCCTAGTATATGTACTACTACTATTACTATACTACTACTACTACTACTACTACTACTACTACTACTACTACTACTACTACTACTACTACTACTACTACTACTACTACTACTACTACTACTACTACTACTACTACTACTACTACTACTACTACTACTACTACTACTACTACTACTACTACTACTACTACTACTACTACTACTACTACTACTACTACTACTACTACTACTACTATATACTACTACTACTATACTACTACTACTACT